ACCGTGCCCGTCTTCCCCGCGCCTGGCTATCCTGGACCCCAACAGCCACAGGGCAGCCCTGGAAGGAGACGGTGGAGCGGGAGGTGGGGGGGTGCCCTCTGCTCCGCAACCGTCCCAACCTCTCCAGCAGGGCCTTCTTGGGGGGTCACTTTGTACACGGGAGGGGAGGGGGCATGGTCGTTAGGATTTCAGTGGGACTTGGGGTGCTGGAGTGGGGTGTGGTGTGGGGGTGCAGGGCACCCTGACTTCCCAAGCCTGGTCTTGGTCTCTCCCACCTTCCTGTCAGAAACCCCCACTCTAGATCCCAGCTTTTCCTTCTCCTCCACCTTCTCGCCCCCCCCCCCCCCCGCCCCCCCCAGTCTCTTTGGTCTCCTTGTCCTTCACACTCTCACTCTCTGCCTCTTCCCTGGCTTCTCCTTCAGTCTGTTTCTCCAAACCCCGTCCATCTCTCCCTTTCAGACTTTCTGTATTTCTCTTTAGTCTCTCTCCCTCTCTTTCTCTCCCTCTCCTCCTCCTTTCCACTTCTGCTCCCCCGATTCCTTTTACAGTCTTAGCCTTAAACTCTCTAGTTCACCTTTCTTCTGCCTCTTAATTTTCGTGACTTTCTTGGTTTCTGTCTGTCTCTACCTCATTTCTATGTCTGTCTCTCTTACACGTGGTCTTGTTCAATGCCCTCAAAGTCAGGTCCTCCCACCCCTGGGCTGGGTGACACTTCCTTCCAGTTCCCTCCTGTCTTTGCACCTTCTCTCTGAGCTCCTAGCTGCTACCCACCATTCCTCCCACCTCTCCCTTTGCCTATCTCCGGGTTAGGCATGTGGGGAATGAGGCTGGAGCGCCCTCAGGGCTTGGAGGAGGGGCAGGGAATGACTCTCCCAGGAAAGGGGCTGCACTAAGGACCTCCCTCCTCCAAGCCCCCACCCCTGTGTGTCCCTGGGAAGCAGTTAGCACCGAGCCTGGCGCAGAGTGAGGCTAAGTCAAGTTTCCTCATGTTGCAACTATAATTGAAAAAGCCCCCCGAAGGCTCTGTGTGGCGCTAAGGTGGCGGGCGCAGCAGAGGGAAAGAACAGGTGCTCCTCTGTCAGTCTGTCAGGCAGGGCTACGGGGAGGGGCCGGGCGGAAAGCCAAGGGCCTAGAGGTCCGGGCTCCGGGCTCCGTGGCAGCTAAGAGGCCAAAGAAAACAGGGACCGAAGAAACCCTGCTATTGTTCCTCCTGCGTTCAGTGCTTCCTGTTGGAGCAGCTCCTCCCCCACCTCTCTCCTCTCAAGGCAGGAGGGCTGTCTGTCCTTTCTGCCTTGGGTCCTGGGGCCCTGCTCCTGGCAGAGCATGGCAGCTGTGGGTAGGATTTGGGGTTCAGGGCTTGTTATGGGCCCCGCCCAGACTGGAACAAGGACCCTGATAACCCCACAGGTTTTGAGGGCTGTTGAACTTGCCTCCAGTCTACACCTTCCACCTTCTTTCTTATCGTCTCTCCCTGGGCACTGTCTGCATGAGCCCACAGGGGTCTTGGAGTGGGAAGGACGCAGCAGTG